ACCATTTGGCCATCCACCCTCCCTTTTTACATTAAAGATTCCATAGGCTACATATTGCTACGGAGGCTTAGCAAGCCAAGCAGTGGCTCACCAGATATTCGGTTCCCCGGAATTTGTCGACGGGACTGCCGGTTTGTGTACGGAAAAGAACCTTGCCTAATTATTTTGTTAATTTCATCAACTTGAATGAGCAATAGATATATTTTGACCTGGTGCACGAAGATGACTAAATGATACTATAAACGATAAACATACATCACCTTAGGCCTAATTAACGTTGATATATTTTCGCCTGGTTCACGAAGATGACTACTATACACGATAACCATACAACACATTAGGCCTAATTAACGTTTATAATTCTTGGCGCTAAATGTCACGCGGGTTTCACAGTTCATTAACAGATGATGTTTGTCTTTGTTGGTGTTCATGTTTGAAGGTTGTTCTTGACGCTAAGTAACATAATGATCAACTACCTGTGGATATTTCATTGTCCCTGATCTTGTTCTACCCTATTGGTAATTGGGGGGAAAATAGCGGCGTATACAGACGCTTCGAAAGACGATGGGGTGGGGTTAATTAATGAGGTGTGCTTAAAGATGCATTATGTAAGATCTAGTTAAAGACCTGGGGCCTGTTTCACGAAATTTTAACTGAGATAAAATCCTAATTTGAGTTATTTGATTGGATAATATTTTATTGATTTTAGTGCTTAGCCAATCAAAATTGAAGTATCTACTACAATTTGGATATTATCTTTAGTTAAAATTTCGTGAAACAGGCCCCGGACCGTTCTTGCTATAATAGTTCCAAAATAGATAATCTAAAATTAATATTATTGAATATTTCATTCAAATTACTTTATTCTGAACTAATCACTGTTTGAAGTTTTGACAAGATGTGGCAAATATTGTTTTTATACCGCAGCAACGTACTTGTTAATCGAGACTCATCCTCGCTTTTCCATTTTTAAATTAAATCATTAAATGTCCATCATAATTCAATCGGGTTAAACTCTGCCATGAGACGATCTAGAGCAGCGATTCTCAACCATTGTTGCCGCGAGATCTCCCTAAGCGTGCCACAAAGTTTTGAAAGGCACACTAAGAAAATGTGAAAAATCACGTGATCCCAATTGAGTATTCACTGATGTCTACTGTAAATTTCATAGCTGTGTTTTTCTTTATTTAGGTTGTGTCATTCTGCGTGTCTAATGACTAGCCTGTGTCTACGTTTGAATGTCGTCTATGACTTGCCATATTTTTATTTTGAAAAATTCAAATATTTTTCATATATATATATATATTTAGCCAGGTGTGCCGCTATTTTTTCATGTGTTCTAAGGTGTGTCGTTGACAAAAAAAAGTTTGAGAACCGCTTGTCTAGATAGAGTTAATTGTGGGCTTGTAATGTAAATAAATGTCGAAATAATGATTTATGAAACATTTGAAGCCAAACTGGAGTGTCGGGTGAAGTGGTATTGGATGAATGGGATTACACTTTTATTCGTTTACTTTTCTGGTTTTTACACGGTTAATGGGTGACATAAGATAGACATGAGAGAGAGAGAGAGAGAGAGAGAGAGAAATGGGGCTTAAAGTCCACTCGACACAAACAAGGTCATTTCGGGACTAACACATGGTTCACTTTATTTCAATAATTAGCTTGCGCGTAGGGGTCTTTAGCAGCGGGAAGAAATCGGAGGACCCAGAGAAAACCCACGAGGTTAGACAGGCGACCCTACTGCTTGTCACGTACATCCGGGGAATCGAAACCCCGCCAGTTGACTCAATGACAGACCGTATGATACAGCGCGCGCGTGGTTACCATTCGGCCATCCAACCCCCCAGATAGAAATGTGGGCTTTAACGCCAGACATTTCTTCTGTACAGACTGTATCAATGGAGACAGGTATACGTCATGTAGTGGCCGAGAAAGTTCATCGAGATTTCCAGACGTGGTTTCCCCTTTGTCAGTGATGTAAGACGGAGGGCTAGGACAGCTGTCTAGTCATTTGGATGGGACTAACAAGCAAAGTGCCTTGGCAGTTGGAATTTCCCTCATAACACACTGCATGGCTTATGCCCGTCTTCATTAGCCCAGCCGGAGCAGAACAGTAGTACGTTAAACCCCCGTTTCATTTCATGTAGTGTGCTATGAGGTACACACACTTATTTGGCAATCAAATTGTAAAAGGTTCTTGTAGTTGAACTCCAATATGTACAAGAGTCTTCGGTATTTTCGTCCAAGCAGAACCACCAAAAGACGTTCCTTGTCAGGCCCTCCATCCTGCAGCCCCGACAAGGGGAGACCACGCATGAAAATCCATAGGAAACGTGAACCAGCGACCCAAAATTAGTAGGCTACCACCTTACTCACTGAACAACCACGGCTCCTAAATTGGGGGAGGGGGGTGGATGGCCGAGTGGTTAGCGCGTGCGCGCTGTATCATAAGGTCTGTCATTGAGTCATCTGGCGTGGTTTCGATTCTCCGGCTGTACGTGACAAGGAGTAGGGTCGTCTGTCCAACCTCGTGGGGTTTCCCCGAGTCCTCCGGTAACGCCCCCCCCCCCCGCTCCTGCTAAAGACACGTACGCGCAAACGAATTATTGAAATAAAAAATTGAAATGACCTAGTTACCCCTCCCCCCTCTCTTTCTCTCTTTCTCTCTCCTAAATCGGATTGACATCTTACCTTACAATGGTGACTGTTTTTCAGTAATCCTCACTGACCCATACATTGTGTACACAAAAACAAATTATCGGTTTTAGACTTTTTGTTTGTTTGTTAAATTAAGAACATTTGTTTTAAAGAACTTAAATTACTGACCTCGAGATAAAAAGGAAGACATTTTAGTTCATGGAATTATGTGTGAGAGAGATAAGCCATGCATATGGAATGATTTATCTTGCTTGTAGAACAGATAACATTATCAGGAGTCCAAAAACGCAGAGATAAATGGAATAACTGTGTTAAGGCCGGTTCACACTGGAGCATGACTTGTTTTGTACGACATTGGTTTTAAACTTTAAAGATACGTTAATTAAGCGCTAAATATACCCATTGCAAGTCTTTCTATAGGCTTCAAATGTTATAGAAAATATTAATTATAACTTTATATACATAACAAGCCCCAAATCAACTCTGTAGACTCTCTAATGGCTTGGATACAGCTTGGATTTAAACAGTCGTCCATTTTATAATTAAATCATTAAATGGCTGACCGAGCTAACGTTTACGGTTAATCGATGACGTCACTACCGGAGACTGCAGATGGAAGGATTGATAATCGTGGGTACCGTATGCATTGAGAATGTTACTTGATAATCGAGAATATGTGGGCGGAGTTATCGTCTGTCAATCAAACGATCGGCAGTTCCCAGAGACGGGACAGAGACAGCTGATGCCTATTTCTAGTCCAAACTCCCAACATTGAAAACTTCCTGCAGAATAAAGTAATTTAACTGAAATTTTGAATATATCAAAAATGCCTAACTCTTTACTAGAATCTTAACTAGTGTATCTTTAAGTTAACAAAGGGTCACCAGAACTTGGTTAAATGAAATGAAATGAAATGGGGTTTAACGTCCTACTGTTCTGCTCCTAACTTGGAATAATGAAGACGGGCATACGCCATACAGTGTGCTATGAGGGAAATTTTGCCCGGGCAGCGGCACTATCGCCTACTCTTATATCGAATTCCAACTGCCAAGGGATCTTTTACGTGCATTCCAATGTATACACGGGACCTCAGTTTTTCGTCTCATCCGAAGGACTAGACAGCTGTCCTTGTCAGGCCCTCCGTCCTGCATCACTGAAAAGGGGGAACCACGCCGGAAAATCTGGATGAACTTTCTCGGCCAATGCAGGGATCGAACACCCGACCTCCAGGCTAGCGAGCCAGCTAACATTAGATTACCTTTTTGTGTACGACAATGGTTTTACGTCAACAAGGGGTCATCATAATTCATTTCCAAAAGAATTTAGAAAACTGAATCATACCAAACGTGGACTTGGTTAAAGCCAGCTCACAATAATGTACTTCTCGCCCATTGATTTTTAGTCATGAAAGGACCATAATCATTACAAAAACTGAATTAAAACCAGCTAACATTAAAATACTTTACTAAATCTCCCACGTAATCAGTACAAAACTGAATCCTACGAAACGCGGACTTCGCTAAGGCTAGTGTAAACTAAACCGCGATTTTGTTAGACGACAACAATAAATACACTGAACAGAGTCATTCGAAACGTGAACTTGGTTAAGGTCGGGATGCCACGAAACACAAAATTAGTCTGTATTTCCGTTATATAGTGCAACGTGCAAACCTTCAGTCAAATATCTCAATGCTTTTCTATTGAATTTAGGCCAATTAAGGGCCACAATTTGCTATTATATTAATTATTGTGTTCTTAAGGTTTGAGGGGGGTTGGATGGCGGAATGGTTAGCACGTGCGTGCTGTATCATAAGATCTGTCATTGAGTCAACTGGTGTGGTTTCGATACCCCGTTTGTACGTGACAAGGAGTAGGGTCGCCTGTCCAACCTCGTGGGTTATCTCCTGGTCCTCCTGTTTTCTCCCACTACTAAAGACCCCTACGCTCAAGCGAATTATTAATATAAAATTGAACAATGTGTTAGTCCAGAAATTACCTAGTTTGTGTCGAGTGGACGTTAAAGCCCATCCCTCTCTCTCGCGCTCTCTCTCTCTTTTGGTTTGATATTACTCACGATAAACCAGCCTTCTGACTAGTATCAGACCTAGGCGGTCAAAGTGGCAGTATAATCGCATTACAAAACAGTATACTCATTTTTGGATATGGCGGCCATTTAGGGCCGAGGTCTATTCTCGAAGTATGAAGTACAAGACAGAGGTCCAATCTGACCGCGCCCCTTTGTACGTCATTTTGGCTATTTGTCACCATTTTGGCGATAAGAATGACTTAGATGTATAAAAATAGGCTATCCATAGCTGTTCTTATCATTCCCTAGACGCACCTCAGGTCAACATCATGCTGGCTCTCATCCTAGTCGCTTTTCTCTCCACCACCTTGGCCGTTCGACCAGGTTTTATCGGATCCGGTAACTTAGAATGGAGGGACTGTGGTATGTATATTAGGCGTATGATATTAGGAACTTACTTCTATTTCATTAACGTACCTCTACCAGTTCCCGTGGTCGTACAGACTTTGTTTTAGCGTCTACCGACAGATGTTTTTCTCCGATTGACGCCATTTTGTTTGTTGACTATTTAAACATTCAATTACGTTGTTTGAATTATCAGATATCCTCTCACGGCCTCACATAACAACCTTTGGCCTTCGAAGGAATTATTAGTGAGCAGAAATTCGCCCGTGTATCTGTAATCACTCGTCACTTCGGTCAGTCACTTCGGTCGTGCGTTCTCGTCTCTTCCCTTTCTTGAAATGTTCATAACGCATCTATCGTAGCAACGATCTCCGTGTTAAAATTATATGTGGGACGTGTTTAACGAGTTCTATCACATGTGATAATGACTGGCACCAATATTGTCCTTTAAAGACAAATAAACAGTTTACCACTGGTTTACGAATCGTGTACCATAATGCGTTTGAGCGTCATTTGTGACAAGGGACGCAAAGAACGAGGCTAGACATATTCCATAGTCATTTCTGCACTAACATATGGTTCAATAATTCGCTTGCGCGTAGGGGCCTTTAGCAGTGGGATGAACCCGGAGGACCCGGAGAAAACTCACGAGGTTGTACAGGCGAGCTTACTCCTTGTTACGTACAACCGGGGAACCGAAACTACGCCAATTGACTTAATTGCATCAATTGCAAACCTTATGGCCACCCCCCCCCCCCCCCCGATTCAATGAAATATCATGTCATATAAACCACAAGCAATAGATTACCCGACCCCAGCAATGACCTCCCTATTTTTAAGATTTAACTGAATATTTCTAGACCGTTTTAAAACAGATGTGTGGAAACTATTAACGGAATATACTTCATACAATCTGATTAAAACACAGATCCTATTTCGTGTCGTTTTTTATAGTTCAAAATTTCATTTTATTTGCCTTTACTACACTAAGATCTGGAAGAATTGTTATATAACCAGCATTCTGGTTGGCTTGAGGGATTAGCCAATGAAACCATCTGTTACGGCGACTTCTTGGCGTGCGATGCACGGAACTGTGGGTAAACCACTAAAAACGTCAACGCTGATTGATTAATCAATCTCTGACGTCATAGGGTCAAAACCGTTCGTACGACATCTGACGCGACCTTTTATTACAACCGGTCAGATCGTCATGCAGTGTAGGCCATCGAAAGTATAAAAAAACGAAACGAAATATATATCTGTATTTTAATCAAATTGGTTGGTTCTTGATATAAAACCCGTTTATGCAAAGATAAAGCTATAGTTCAGCTATCTTATGGCTGACCACATGGTCTTTCACATTCAACAATCCGTTATTCAACACACACCATGTCAGGCGACAAATTCACATCAGGTGAAATCAACAGCGTCTCGATTATCAATACAGATTCCCCAAAAAGAGAAAACCAGACTGGTTAGTCATCCGTTTACACAAACCACCAGTTAGGACCATCTGTGTTGCTTGTATTTACAAATATTAGTTTATGGTGTCAGCTAATTCAGCCGAAACATGACTCTCCCCAAAGCCATTTATTTGTCGCTTACCGCCTGGACTAGTTTGCCATCCAGCACTATCCCTACCGTGGAATTTTGGTTTCAGGTTAGCACAAACCACCACTTACATCCAACATCATCCCCACCGAGGAATTTTGGCTTCGGGTTAACATAAACCATCGGTACCAGCTATTGCAACTATATAAACATATTCATCTAATTCGGCTCACTGATGGGTGTCCATCAGTAAATATCCCTCAATCCAGTTCCTCTTCGGACCAGCTGTTGTGCTTGTTTTTACGTATATTCTTAAATATTTCAGCTAATTCACTCGACTCTTGGGTCTCCATCAGCACATTTGGTATCTCCATTGAATATCGCTAACCTCTTAGCACCAGCTGTGTGACTTGTCTTTACACATTTTCTTATATCGTTTCAGCTAATTCAGCCGACTCATGGGTCTCCATCAGCAAATTTGACATCTCCCCTAAGCCAATCCCACTTCCCGGTGATATGGTCGTTGAACTGAACAGTGATCTCAGTCATCTGCTGAAGGATGCCGTCGGTATGGATGTTGTTATTGAGAAGGAACTGCTCGGACAATTCACTAAAATAGTCTGCGTCAAGAATGTCGGAACATGGTAAGTTCCCCGGAAAACCTAGCTGGATGAATGTTGTAAACCAATACAGGGATCGAACCCACGGCCTCTTGGTTATTGAGTCGGTGGTGGTTCCCCAAATGCAATTTGGGCTTGGCTAAGTGGGTAAGACGCTGGCTCGCTAGCCTGGAGGTCGGGTGTTCGATCTCTGAATTGGCCGAGAAATTTCATCCAGATGCATTGTCACATCCCGATTTCCGACGTTGTTCTGCCTTGCCAGTGATGCAGGACGGAGGGCCTGACATGGACAGCTGTATAGTCGTTCGGATGGTACGAAAAGCAGATGCCCCGTGCACACATTGGCATGCACGTAAAAGATCCCTTGACAGTTGGAATTCGATATAAGAGTAGGCCATAGTGCCGCTGTCCGGACAAAATGTCCCTCATAGCACACTGTATGGTGTATGCCTGTCTTCATTAGCCCGGTTCGGAGCAAAACAGTAGGACGTTAAACCCCATTTCATTTCATTTCATTTCGCAATTTGGACTGCTATATATTCATCTTACAGACGCTGTGGTGGAACCTTCTACTGCTTACCGCTTTATCTGCGATTAGAATCAAACGAAATGAAATGAAGTTTAATGTCCTACACTTTTGCCTCTACTTAAGCTACTGAAGACGATCATACGATATGCTGTTTGATATAATAAAAACATCTTGCTCGGACAGCAAGGTTTAGGCAGGTTCGAGGGACTCCAGATTTTCGTCCAGTCATTCTGCGACAAGAGGAATGCACGATGACAAATCCAAAGGAACTTTCTCGGTCGAAACCAGGATCGAATCAGAATTTTCGTCCAGCCGTTCTGCATCACTGACAAGAGGAACGCACGATGACAAATCCCAGGATCGAACCAGGAACCTTCCTGCTTTGTGAGCAAATGCCTCACCCACTGAGACACCGTGGCTTCCACACTGCGATGGGTCGTTGGCGTATGGATACTTTATATTTCAAATACGGCGAATTAAAGATGCATTATGTAACATTTATATAAAGAGAAAGAGAGAGAAATGGGGTTTAACGTACAATCGTCACAAACTAGGTCATTCGGGACTAACATAGGTTTCAATTTTATTTCAATAATTCGCTTGTGCGTAGGGTGTTTAGGGCTGGAGGAAACCGGAAGACACAGAGAAAACAAACGAGGTTGGACACGCGACCATACTCCAAGTTGACTTAATGAGGACCTTATGCTACAACGTGCACGCTCTAACCAATCGGCCACCCAACCCTGCCATTTAGATCAAGAACTGACCGTTCTTGCTATAATAGTTTATTTCAGTCTAGTTACTTTATTCTAAGTGAAGTTATGAACGTTTGAAGAATAGCGTAATCTCGATTATCATTTCTATCGTTGTTACGATAATAAGCAAAGTCTCGATCATGCATTTTTAAATTAAATTATTAAATGGCGATTGTGTCCGTTCAAACTCACAGCTAACTGATGGCACAGAGTTGATAAATGTGTATAAATGTCTAATTAATAATTTAGATAACATTTCAGGCCTAAACAAAGACCTGCAATAGGCAGATGTACCTCTTGCGTACTGTATGTTTAGTTACTGAAAATCGTTAATGGTGACCTTGACCTTTGACTTTTACAGCCACTACGATGACCCATGTCACTTCTTGAACACCTTTAAAGGTACAGCCGGATGTCCCAAACAATTGGCTGATAATGGTTTACCATGTACCTGTCCCTTTAACCCAACCCAGATCAGACTTCCACCTACTAAATTCACTGTTGCTGCAGTATCCGGAGCATGGTCTTTCTTGGCCACAGTAAGTATTTGTCACTTATTGCACCAAAACTGGTTGCATTTTTTTTAAATAATGCAAATAATTGTAGACATAATTACTTGCATCATTTAAAAATATTATGAAGCTTTTCTGTGACCTTTCATAGGTTAGAGAGACGAGGGGTGTGTGCTATGCGACTTGAAATGGAATTTGAAAATTTACGGAATGATACAAAATTCTACTTGTATGCATCAATATAACAGGCGATCCTAATCCTTGTCACGTACAACCGGGGAATCAAAACCACGTCAGTTGACTCAATGACAGACCTTATGATACAGCGCGCACGTACTAACCATTCGGCCATCGCCTATAAATTTTATAAGACACGAACCCATGCAAGAAATATAGAGATGAGTATATCGAAATGCTGACACCATAACGGTGGCGCACAGTTACATATTTATAGGTGTGTCCACTGCCTATTTTCAATTTCTGAATAAAGAATTGAAATAACCAAAGATACATTATGAGATATTAGATAAAGAGTTGACAGGTCTCGCTATAATAGTTAAAAAATAGATAGCATAAAAAGAATATGCTGAAAATTTCAGTCAAATTGATCCACTCTGAATCGAGATATTAACTTTTGAATTTTAGGCTAGCCTCGATCATCATTACTACGATAAAACAAAAGTCTCGATTATCCTTTATTAAGTTTAATCACCCTGCACAAAATGTATTCCAATCCGCTAAATATTGTAGGCTAGCGATGGCATCGAGAGTTGATTATGGTCTGGATAAGTTTATAAATGTCTAATTAATAATTTAGATAACATTTCAAGCCTAAAGAAAGACATGCAATAGGCAGATTAAGCTCTTGCATAATGTATGTTTAAAGTATCATTCAAAATCTTCGACATTGAAAACACGAATTTTTTGGCAATATAAATCAGCATTGGTTTTGTGATCTTACCTGGAAAAGATGGGCTTCTGATATCCAATAATTAAGACAAAATAAACATTTTACCATTGGTACACGAATCGTGTACCATAATGCGTTTCACCGCCATTTGTAACAAGGTGCTCAAAGAATGAGGCTAGACATATTCCACAAGTCATGTCAAACGGTGATATCATGTTCTTATTTAGAGAGCATGCGCAATAAATAATATCGGTGTTGACTGGAATAACCAGACGCTAGAAACTGACTTGCGGTTGAGACTTCTGGCGTATTTCGCCGAACATAACTGATGACAATTCATAGTAAAACGGACACGATTGAATGTAAAACAGTTTATATAAATTCATATTACGTTATTATATGTGTTGCGACCCATTTGTGCCAATTTCTAGGTCCAAAATATTAGCGATTTAGCTTCTTTAAAGGTAAATTTGCAACAACAAAAAATGATTAACAACATTTTTCTGATATATTAATGATGTTTTTCTGTTTTCAGGGAAATTACCATATTAAAATCTCCATGACAGACAAAACTTCTGCTAAAGTCCGAGGGTGTCTTGAAACTTATGTAAACATCCATGCTTAAACTTTAAGAAACCTCTGAATCATTTGTTCTGTTCGTTGTATGTTGATTTTGTAATAAAATGTATTACAGGTGTGAGTTGAGATGATATTGTTATATTCTGCTGAGCATTGTTATCCAATATAATTGTTTTTTTTTTAACATGTTTGGATTTCAGAGGTTCACAGAATATCGGTATTGCATATTATATAAGCTTTTCTAGGACACCTATTCAAAGTCTGTCTATTTAAACTGTAGAAAATTTTGTATACCGTCGAACAGGAGGGGAACTGGATATTAAGATCTCAGGAATTGTTTCTATTGCTAGAAGGTTACGTTGCTTCATTAAATATGCCTTACATACCACGTGTTCTCATCCGTATCTATTCCATGTAGGCCATCTTTATCTTATGATATAACACACATATAATATACAGATTGTCAATAACACGTGGCAGTATAATATACACATTGTCAATAACACGTAGCAGTATAATATACACATTGTCAACAACACGTGGCAGTATAATATACACATTGTCAATAACACGTAGCAGTAAAATATACACATTGTCAATAACACGTGGCAGTAAAATATTGCTGTATTATGTATGCATTATAGTCTAAATTTGATAAATGTTATGAATCAATTTAAGTTTGATTTATCGGAGATTTTAAATTCAGCTAGTATTAAAAAGTTTTAGGTACATCGGAATGGAAATGAAATGGGGTCTAGTGTCCTACTTTACTGCACTGGCTGGGACAATGTAGACGGGTATACGCCATACCGTGTGTTGTGAGGGAAATTATGTCCGGATAGCGACACCACGATCCACTTTTATATCGAATTCCAACTGTCAAGGGTTATTTTACGTATACGCCAATGTGTACACGGGACCCCCTTTTTTCGCCCCATCCCAACGACTAGACACTGTTTCTGTTCCGGTTCTCTCTACTGCACCACTGATCAGGAACATCCCCGGTCACACCGATAGCGAACCCGAGACCTCATGTTAAAGCTTGTACATTGGATATAGAAATAAAGCAACTAATACAGCGATACGGTTGGTCTAAACCTCAAAACGGGAGTGGGGGTGGGGGTGAATGGCTGATTCTTTAGCGTGTGCGCGCCGTATCATAAGGTCTGTGATTGAGTCTACTGGCGTGATTTCGATTTCCAGTTTGTACGTGAGAAGGAGTTGGGTCGCCTGTCCAACCTCGTGGGTTTTCTGCCGATCCTCCGGTTTCCTCCAAATACTAAAGATCCCTACGCGCAAGCGAATTATTGAAATAAAATTGAACCATGTGTTAAGTCCCGAAATGACCTGGTTTATGCCGAGTGGACGTTAAACCCCATCTCTCTCTCTCTCCCTCTCTCTCTCTCTCTCTCTCTCTAAACACCATATCACGAACTACGAACCGAATCTCGATCATTTTGTCTCTTTAAAATAATTGCGACGTATCAGTGATATTCGACATCTCATTACGATTGATGCCGCCAAATCTCTAGTTCTGTCCAGAATAGACTATTGTAACAGTTTATTGTCTGGGATCAATCAATCGAGTCTCTACAAACTACAGTAAATACAGAATGCAGCAGCCAAAATCATATTACGAACCAAAACATCATCTCACATAACACCTATTCTAAAATCCTTACATTGGCTCCCAATTCCAGCTCGCATCAGCTTTAAGGTTCTGTGCCTCACATATCAATGTCTACGAAATCTTGCACCCAGCTATTTATCAGAACTACTAACAGTATATCAACCAAATCGGTTCTTGAGATCTTATTACCAGAACACTCTTGTCGTTCCATACTCAAAACTGAAACATTTCGGTGACAGAAGTTTTAGTGTAGTTTCTCCTAAATTGTGGAATGATTTACCACCGAAAATCCGAAACAGTGAAACTCTGACTACTTTCAAATCACAGCTGAAGACTCATTTATTTCGAGAATGCTACGAGAATTAGACTTTCTATTCAGAGTGTATATAACTATTGTCTCATTGCGCTTTGAGCATGCTTTTGGATGGATTTGGCGCTCTACAAATGTACATTATTATTATTATTATTTATTGTTATTGTCACGTATAACCGGGGAATCGAAACCCCGCCAGTTGACTCAATGACAGACTTTATGATACAGCGCGCACGTGCTAACCATTCAGCGATCCCCCCCCCCCCTGAATGTTGGGACATTTTAATTAAACATACATTATGCAAGAGCTAAATCTGCCTATTGTAGGTCTTTCTTTAAGCCTGAAATGTTATGTAAATTATTTATTAGACGTATTCATTAACTTCTCCAGACCATAGTCAACTCTCGATGACATCGCTAGCCTGTGATGTTTACTGGATTAGGATCCAATTTGTTGCTCAACTTTCATTCATACTTAAATAAAAAAAAGGATGATCGAGAATGTTTTTTTATCGTACCAACTTTAGTAATGATGATCGAGGCTAGCCCTAATATCCAATCGATAAAATATTGGTTCAGAGTGGATCAATTTGACTGAAATTTTCAGCAAATTCCCTTTACATTATCTAGTTTTTAACCATTATAGTGAGAACCACCAGCTCGTTTATCTAATCTTCCATAATGTATCTTTAATGGCATCTGATGAATATGTTATTATGATATTAAATTCCACTTGTTGCTTGAGTGGAATTACGTCATGGATATAAGATCCTTAAATCATGGTTAGATCTCTTCCACATGGCCAACTGCAGATTCCCCAAGGCCACGAGATGTAAACAGGGTATGGGCACGTAATTGTTACCGAGGATTATGGATTAGGGTTAGGGTAAGGCTTAACTTTATCGGCCAACGCAAACTAACGTCTTATTGACTGAGCTACCTCGGTTTTTATCTCATTTTGGAGAACATTGGAGATTGGGTCGCGGGCGTACGGAAGGACATCGAGACCCTGATGTGACTCAACGGCCGAGGGTTAAGAACCCTTGTCTAAAATTATAGCACTCTACTACACTCATTCTGCTATATGATGAATACAGTAGCACTAAATGATAAAACAAATGAAATGGAATGGGGTTTAACGTCCTACTGTTTTGCTCCGAACTGGGCAAAAATAATAAAAGTGCAGAGTAGCAAATCCTATATTTAGCAAATTAGACTTATCAGCTGTATGTTTCCAATAATCTACATTTATAAAAACCATACCAGTGAATATTTATTTGGTGCACGTCATGTCTGCTTTTTATCTGATAAGATGGAGTAACTTGTATAAATGCAGGTTGAATGTGATCTTATCATTTCTTTGGCACACCTTGCATCATGCTTGCTCTCATCCTAGTTGCCTTCCTGTCCACCGCCTTCGCTGCACGACCAGGTTTCCAGGCATCTGGTGCTGTAGAATGGAGAGACTGTTGTAAGTATTCAATCACAAGATTGTAAAATATTTTCATTTGACAGTTCACGTTACTGGGCGTTTGGACTGAGTGTGTGTGAGAGAGAGAGAAACAGAGAGAGAGAGAGATAGTGAGAGTGAACTAGGGTTTAACGTCCACTTGACACAGACTAGGTCATTTCGGGACTAACATATGCTTCAATTTTATTTCAATAATTTTCTTGCGCGTATGGGTCTTTAGCAGTGGGAGGAAACAGGAGGACCCGAAGACAACCCATGAGGTTGGACACGCGATCTTACGCCTTGTCACGTACAACCGGGAATCGAAACCACGCCAGCTGACTCAGTGACATACCTTCTGATACATACCTTCTGATAACTATTCGGACACCCCCCCTCACCCTTACTTGATTGAGGGGGGAATCATAAAGTCACAAATGAAGGCAGATCACCATTAATATTCACACTTTCCGCCATATCAAAAATTGGGAGAGAGATAAATATGATATACAAGCGCGTACATATTTTCTGATACTCTTAGCGATAAAGATCCCAGAGCGGAGGTGATTTATGGAAATACGCCCTCCCTCTCGACTACCTACATCGAGGGGTAAATCTTGCTGAATGAAATGTCGAATTACAACCGTCAGGTTCTTAAACGAACATGTCAACATGTACACTAGCACTCGAATTTTATACCATACGAATTACTCGACATATGTCTTACCGGTGACAAATCCTGAGAGGTACTTTCTCGGCCGAAGGCAAGATCGAAACCCAGAGGGGACTGGTTGGGGGGGGGGGGGGTGCATTACTTATTCGGACGGATTTCTTGCACCCATCGAAATTTGATTTCATTTTCATATCCTTAAAGCTAATCCAGCGGACACATGGATCCCCATTAGTAAATTCGGCATCAGCCCTAATCCACTTCAAGTACCCGGTAAAGCCGTTGTAGAACTGAAAAGCTCACTCAGCCATGAACTTAAAAATGTCCTCAACATGGACGTTGTTTTTGAGAAGGAACTGCTTGGACAATTTACTAAACTCGTATGCGTCAAGGATGTCGGAACATGGTGAGTATGTAAATATTTGAAATAAGAACTAAATGACATGGTGTTTAACGTCCTATTCGTCTGCTCCGATTGGGCGAATGATGAGAGAGAGAGAGATAGAGAGAGAGAGAGAGAGAGAGAGAGAGTATCGGTCTCGATCAAGACGTTTTTAAGAGTTACCGTCCTCTGTCTAATTATCCATTCAATGCCAAACTTCTGGGAAAGTCAGGTCTCTGACAAAGTAAATTTAAGTCTGCCTATCGAGCTAGCTCTCTGTCAACTGCATATGTATTTCAAAGTTAACAATTGATATGGTAAATTTAAGTCTGCCTATCGAGAGGGTCATATTACGGAGACTGCACTCTTACTAGTGCACAATTACGTTGTGCATTCTCTTGGTAGACCTAATGATGTCATTCTAATCCTGCTGGATTTGGCTGCTGCCTTCGACACCATAGACCATGACATTCGTGTTCAGGGACTGTGTTCCCGGTTTGGAATTTGTGGGTTAGCCTGAATGACGGAAAAAAGAAGTACTATGGGTTTCGTTGCGCTTCAAGGATATCGGTAATCGGACAGTTGCAACTGATGTCCAGATTGGTGATGTTCGTGTCTCGGCGACAGGATCGGCGCATAATTTCGACGTGTTGATGGACTCAAATGAAGCCATGGACGCACACATTACTAGTGTGTGTCGGGGGGGCGTCTCACAAACTGTGGAGAATAGGTAAACTTGGGAAACTTATCGATCAATCCACTACCAAACAACTGGTTCATGTATTTGTGACTTCAAGGTTAGACTATTGTAATTGTCTTTGTTTCGGTATCAACCCGAGAATATACAGCATATTCAAAATAAATAATATAATAATACAATAAATTATGAATTTGTAGAATGCAATATTCTTTCGAGTAAACTACTCAAGAGCGCTAGTCATATATTTGCTTGAAGATTGATGTCTTTAGCTGTGATTTAAAACTGTTCAATGTTTCGGATCTTTTGATGTGTATGGGAAGTCTGTTCCATAAAACTACACCACATTTCCATACCTGGTTCTTGAATTGGATGGCATTGCCAACTATAGTTGATCTTAAAGCACGCGATGTCGCTGGTGACAAGGGAGATATCTTATCTATTTCCTTTATTTTTTCAGCCATTATGATGATCCATGCCATTTCTTGAACGTATTTAAAACCGACGCTGGGTGTCCCAAGCAATTATCTGATAATGGTCTACCATGTACCTGTCCATTTAACCCATTGGCGATCAACCTTCCACCAAGTACATTTACAGTCACTAAAATTAATTCTGCATGGGGTTTCCTGGCTACTGTAAGTATTCATTTGTCATCTTGGAATACCCTGCAGCCTGTTACGGTTATCTACCCTTGGTAAAAGGTAGTTTATCATTGAAGTCATATGACTGGTGTGGGATTTGGATGGGTAGCCGAGTGGTCTGACGCGTGCGCTTTTGATCATACGCTCTATCATCCGGTAACGTGCTGTCGTGTCAACCAGAGGTTCATACGCGACATGGAGCTGGTTCAACAGGGCCAAGACTTGTTTAAATTGCACAGAATGTCTCTTAAAGTCACGGTATTCAAAACACCCCCCGTCCGCCCCCCCCCCCAAAAAAAAACAAACAAAAAAACTCTGCTATATGATAGCCTTGGACAGTGTGGAAATACGCTCACCACACGGTCGATGCTTGTCTGAAACTGTTTAAACCTGTGGTCTCTATCTTATTCACGGTGTTTGCGGATGGTCGTAGAATGCTGAATACCAATAGGGTTCGTTTTCTCTCATGACCCAAATGCTCCACACCAAATAAATTATGTTAAACAATGTAGGCTCTGCCATTATTCGGCAATGTGTGGGGACAACTTTGAAATGGAAAGCATAAATCTGTAGCATCTAACGTGTTCTCTCAAGGATTTTGGCAAGAAGAGGTAACACTGAAATAAAAGATCATAAAACACTAAATATTGATACGGCTAATCCCCTCGTGACCGGCAAAGTGGGGTAACCTCGAAACGGAAAGTCGCAAAACGCTGAATATAAATTGAGTTCATCTCTTCATGACCTACAAGTTCAAACCAAACTAGCCTGTATTGCTTCAAAAGGTTTTCAGCAAATGGGGGATAAATCTGAAACCCAAATGCATCCCACCAAATTTTGAAGAAATCCTTTATAGTCAATGGCCCCTATCGCATTCACATGGTCGTTTGAAACGGGGGCATAACTCTGGTAAGAAAGGACGCGTAAAGCATGGCCACAATTCTGCAAACCAAATGTGAAAAGAATCTGCCAATAATCTGTAGCCTTCATCATGTCCACAAGCCAGTTGTTGACGGACGGACCGACAGGGTGGAGACTATATACGCCCACACATTCTAATATTAGTATTGATGTTACTATGTAAAGTATAAAAAGAACTTGATTAAGAGATGTAAGGTAACCATACAATAATTATTATTACTATACTTGTTTAACAACGAGATAAAGATGGCGGTACAAAATAAATAAAAACCGATATAAATTTTAACTAACTTGGACAACAATGACCGATTTAAAAAATGTCATCACAATTCCCAATTTAAATACCATTATCAATTATTGCCAATGTTATACTAAAACTATGACTTTATTTCAGGGAACCTACCGCATTAAGGTCACTGTGACAGAGAAAGCCACATCTACTGTTCGAGGGTGTCTTGAAGCATATTTAAATATTGCTAGATAAAATATGGTGCATTTGTTGTTTTTGGTTCATTTTAGCTGTTAGAGAGGGCGAGAGAGATGGGACGGGGAGAGAGAGATGAAATGAAATGGGGTTTAACGTTCTAGATTCTGCTCCGAACTGGGTTAATGAAGACGCGCATACGCCATACAGTGTGCTATGAGGGAAATTTTGCCCGGACTGCTGCACCACGGCTTACTCTTATATCGAATTCCAACTGTCAAGCGATCTTTTACGTGCACGTCAATATATGTACACGTTACGTCGGTTTTTAGTACCATCCGGACGACTAGACAGCTGTTCTTGCCAGGTCCTCCGTCCAGCATCACTGACAAGGGGGCACCACGTCGGAAAATCTGAATGAACTTTCTCGGCCAATGCAGGGATCGAACACCTGACCTCCAGGATAGCGAGCCAAGCGTCTTACACACAGCCACCTTGAGCAGAGAGCTTCTAATAGAATCGAAGATTCCTTCAGCCATACGATTCTTATGAGTTTAAACTTAACCAGAATTTATCCTAGCTAGCACACAGTAGTATCACGGATATCCTCAATCATATTTGAAGTACATTTCCCACGATATGTCTATTTTTGAAAAAAAAATCAAGTAATATGCTCATTTGGCACCATTATGTTGTAGCATTGGGTAGTATTGGGTGGTATTTGGTAGTATTGGGTAGTATTGGGTAAATCGTCCTGCCGATTGCTTTACATTGTTGCGCTTTGTTTGTATTCCCAGATCAGCAGATACGACGTACAATGTAACATTCAACCGATACTACCAATAATAACAATGATTGGTGGAAAATGTTCTCATTTCGAACCATATAATGTAATTAGCTCAGTCGGAGAAGAGCAGAAGGACTCGATAACCCCATTTCATTTCTTGTCTACAAATATTTTGAGTTACATATACTCACCATGTTACAACTCGACACAGATAATTTTAGTAAATATTCCTAGCTTCTTCTCAAATCCAACGCCCGATATGTTGACGGTATCCTTCAATTCACGTTCGAGTGCGCTCGTCAGTACCCAACCATATCGCTAAATAGAGGAATTTGTTTACGGCTGATGTCAAATTTTTTAATGGTGATTCATGTGTCAGTTGGGTTAGCTTTAAAAAAAGATATAAAAATGAAATCAATTTTCAATAGGTGCAAGAAAACCTCCCAGGTAAGTAATACAGCCCCGTTCCCTCTGGAGTTCGATCTTGGCTTCAGTCGAGAAAATATTTCAAGATCTTCCAGCGTGGTTGCATTTTATCAGTAGTGCAGGGAGGAGTGTGTAGTAAGACACCTTGTCTAGCAATCCGTATTGTATGGTATGTTAGCATGCACACAAAAGAACCCTTGACGATTTTAGGTCGAAATACGAGTAGGTCGTAGCCTGCCTGTCCGGACACCATTCATTTATATCCCGGTTATTACAGAACAGTAAGGTTACTGTCCACCCTCTAAGTAGGTGCGGAGGAGAGGGCGTATATTTAAAAAGAATCGCCTGTGCTCAGCTCTCTTTATCGCTGAGAGTACCAGAAGAAAAACTTTGTAGGCGAGCCTACTCCTTATCACGTATGAGTCTCTGACTGACATACAGTACCCGATTTACCGGTGTGATTAAGCACAGTGGTCCGTTGGCCAGGGAGGGAAGGGGGGAGGGTCATCTTCCTTCCATATTATTCATAAATGTGCCTAAAACTTGTTGAAAATAATGATTGATCAGGTAGCATGTCATATTTTAACTACTGCTTTATTTGTGTAGGCATGTCAGGCCTACCAAGTTCAGGGCCCATGCAAAGGGTCCCATAACTTAACTAACACAGGGCCTCATTTGGCATGCACGTAAAAGATCCCTTGACAGTTGGAATTCGATATAAGAGTAGGCCATAGTGCCGCTGTCCGGACAAAATGTCCCTCATAGCACACTGTATGGTGTATGCCTGTCTTCATTAGCCCGGTTCGGAGCAAAACAGTAGGACGTTAAACCCCATTTCATTTCATTTCTTTTCGCAATTTGGACTGCTATATATTCATCTTACAGACGCTGTGGTGGAACCTTCTACTGCTTACCGCTTTATCTGCGATTAGAATCAAACGAAATGAAATGAAGTTTAACGTCCTACACTTTTGCCTCTACTTAAGCTACTGAAGACGATATGCTGTTTGATATAATAAAAACATCTTGCTCGGACAGCAAGGTTTAGGCAGGTTCGAGGGACTCCAGATTTTCGTCCAGTCATTCTGCGACAAGAGGAATGCACGATGACAAATCCAAAGGAACTTTCTCGGTCAAAACCAGGATCGAATCAGGATTTTCGTCCAGCCGTTCTGCATCACTGACAAGAGGAACGCACGATGACAAATCCCATGATCGAACCAGGAACCTTCCTGCTTTGTGAGCAAATGCCTCACCCACTGAGACACCGTGGCTTCCACACTGCGATGGGTCGTTGGCGTATGGATACTTTATATTTCAAATACGGCGAATTAAAGATGCATTATGTAACATTTATATAAAGAGAAAGAGAGAGAAATGGGGTTTAACGTACAATCGTCACAAACTAGGTCATTCGGGACTAACATAGGTTTCAATTTTATTTCAATAATTCGCTTGTGCATAGGGTGTTTAGGGGTGGAGGAAACCGGAAGACACAGAGAAAACAAACGAGGTTGGACACGCGACCATACTCCAAGTTGACTTAATGAGGACCTTATGCTACAACGTGCACGCTCTTACCAATCGGCCACCCAACCCTGCCATTTAGATCAAGAACTGACCGTTCTTGCTATAATAGTTTATAATAGTTTAGGTAATGGAAAATGAATATATTCAAATTTATTTCAGTCTAGTTACTTTATTCTAAGTGAAGTTATGAACGTTTGAAGAATAGCGTAATCTCGATTATCATTTCTATCGTTGTTACGATAATAAAAAAAGTCTCGATCATGCATTTTTAAATTAAATTATTAAATGGCGATTGTATCCGTTCAAACTCACAGCTAACTGATGGCACAGAGTTGATAAATGTGTATAAATGTCTAATTAATAATTTAGATAACATTTCAGGCCTAAACAAAGACCTGCAATAGGCAGATGTACCTCTTGCGTACTGTATGTTTAGTTACTGAAAATCGTTAATGGTGACCTTGACCTTTGACTTTTACAGCCACTACGATGACCCATGTCACTTCTTGAACACCTTTAAAGGTACAGCCGGATGTCCCAAACAATTGGCTGATAATGGTTTACCATGTACCTGTCCCTTTAACCCAACCCAGATCAGACTTCCACCTACTAAATTCACTGTTGCTGCAGTATCCGGAGCATGGTCTTTCTTGGCCACAGTAAGTATTTGTCACTTATTGCACCAAAACTGGTTGCATTTTTTTTAAATAATGCAAATAATTGTAGACATAATTACTTGCATCATTTAAAAATATTATGAAGCTTTTCTGTGACCTTTCATAGGTTAGAGAGACGAGGGGTGTGTGCTATGCGACTTGAAATGGAATTTGAAAATTTACGGAATGATACAAAATTCTACTTGTATGCATCAATATAACAGGCGATCCTAATCCTTGTCACGTACAACCGGGGAATCGAAACCACGTCAGTTGACTCAATGACAGACCTTATGATACAGCGCGCACGTACTAACCATTCGGCCATCGCCTATAAATTTTATAAGACACGAACCCATGCAAGAAATATAGAGATGAGTATATCGAAATGCTGACACCATAACGGTGGCGCACAGTTACATATTTATAGGTGTGTCCACTGCCTATTTTCAATTTCTGAATAAAGAATTGAAATAACCAAAGATACATTATGAGAGATTAGATAAAGAGTTGACAGGTCTCGCTATAATAGTTAAAAAATAGATAGCATAAAAAGAATATGCTGAAAATTTCAGTCAAATTGATCCACTCTGAATCGAGATATTAACTTTTGAATTTTAGGCTAGCCTCGATCATCATTACTACGATAAAACAAAAGTCTCGATTATCCTTTATTAAGTTTAATCACCCTGCACAAAATGTATTCCAATCCGCTAAATATTGTAGGCTAGCGATGGCATCGAGAGTTGATTATGGTCTGGATAAGTTTATAAATGTCTAATTAATAATTTAGATAACATTTCAAGCCTAAAGAAAGACATGCAATAGGCAGATTAAGCTCTTGCATAATGTATGTTTAAAGTATCATTCAAAATCTTCGACATTGAAAACACGAATTTTTTGGCAATATAAATCAGCATTGGTTTTGTGATCTTACCTGGAAAAGATGGGCTTCTGATATCCAATAATTAAGACAAAATAAACATTTTACCATTGGTACACGAATCGTGTACCATAATGCGTTTCACCGCCATTTGTAACAAGGTGCTCAAAGAATGAGGCTAGACATATTCCACAAGTCATGTCAAACGGTGATATCATGTTCTTATTTAGAGAGCATGCGCAATAAATAATATCGGTGTTGACTGGAATAACCAGACGCTAGAAACTGACTTGCGGTTGAGACTTCTGGCGTATTTCGCCGAACATAACTGATGACAATTCATAGTAAAACGGACACGATTGAATGTAAAACAGTTTATATAAATTCATATTACGTTATTATATGTGTTGCGACCCATTTGTGCCAATTTCTAGGTCCAAAATATTAGCGATTTAGCTTCTTTAAAGGTAAATTTGCAACAACAAAAAATGATTAACAACATTTTTCTGATATATTAATGATGTTTTTCTGTTTTCAGGGAAATTACCATATTAAAATCTCCATGACAGACAAAACTTCTGCTAAAGTCCGAGGGTGTCTTGTAACTTATGTAAACATCCATGCTTAAACTTTAAGAAACCTCTGAATCATTTGTTCTGTTCGTTGTATGTTGATTTTGTAATAAAATGTATTACAGGTGTGAGTTGAGATGATATTGTTATATTCTGCTGAGCATTGTTATCCAATATAATTGTTTTTTTTTTAACATGTTTGGATTTCAGAGGTTCACAG